TGTCCACCTTCAACCAAACAATGAGAGAAACCAAACCCAAATAGACAAAACAAATGGGCAGGAGATTAGTAAGTGATAGCAAGTCTCACCATTAGCCTTACAAAGATTGTACCAGTGTGAGGATAAACACCAATTTGGACTTTTTCTTTGAAGTAAGTCACAAGAATTGAACCTTTCCAAGAAATCTTCCCATCAAAAAGCTGCAATCCTAGGAGGATAGGTTTGCCCCAAATTTCTTTAACAGGAAAAGGTTGCTCAAGAACATCAGTTGGCTGGACTAAACTATTAAAGAAAGAAGCACAAGAAAAAGATCTCGAGGGAGACAAAGTCCAAAGACGACTATCATTCTAGATGGATCGGAGAACACCCCTTCCAAGATTTGTAGCAGAGACAAAACATCAACAAATTCATAGTCTCTAACCCCCCTTCTTATACCCAAGTCCCAATCAAAACCAGATCTTGAGTTAGAAGGGATCACAAAGTTAGATACCGGTTCATCTTTACAGTTTGAGATAGAAAACAAAAAAGAGTATTGTTCTTTCAAGGCCAAGCCTCCCACCCAGATGTGTTCCCAAAATTACACACAATTTCCTGAGCTGAGGTTATACTTGATAAACGGAAGGAAGGATGGAAGAATGTCGTGTATGGATTTCCAAGGCGATGCTCTTGTTTGTAGCCCTAGCTAGTACTCCCGCATCCCATCCATTAGCTGTTTGTACATGAATGCTTAGAATCACTTTTACCCATAGTTTATTTTTGTCTATTGGAAGTCTTCAAGGCCATTTCCCCAATAATGCCGCATTCCTCTTTTGAATGTTACCTATCCCTAATCCTCCATAATTCTTGCTTCGACTGACCACCTCCTAGCTAACTCTATGGTCCCTCTTTTCTTCCTCTGGCTCCTACAGGAAATCCCTTATCAGTTTTTTAGTCCTTTTTTTGATCAGTGATCAGTTTCAATCCTTCTACTTACCCCTTCTGGGATTTTAAAAACAGAAAGTATACAAACAAGCAATGTTTTAAAATACAAGAGGTGTAAGGCGTAGTTTAGAATACAAGAGGCATAAGCCTCCCGAACACAAGGAGGCTTACGCCTCCTTAAGAGGAGGGGGGTTAGGAGGAGGAAGGGGAGGAGGATGAAGTAGAAGGGGGGATCTCACTTTTTCTTTATTTTTAATAAAAATCTTTTATATTAAGAAGAATAAAGATGCATAACATTAGTTGAAAGGGGGGGTCTTGTCGAAGCGGAGGCGAGCTCGCTTTGCTTCGCTCGTCGAAGCGGAGCAAGACCCCCTAACTCAAAAAAATACAAATTGGGCTGCATCGAAAAGGGGGCGAAGCCCCCCAGCCGAAGGGGCAAGGGGCAAACCACTTTCTTTCCCCTCATCTTTTCTTCCCTTCTCTTTCCTTTTCTTTTCTTTCCTTTTCTTCTCTTTCTTTTTCTTTCCCTTCCCTTTCTTTTCTTTTTACTTTTTTTTTTCTGTCTTTTTATATCAGATGTGCATGAGGCGTACGCCTCTAGCACGCCTCATGAAAAAAGCGCAAGAGGCCTCTTGCACCTGAGGCGTACGCCTCAGAGGTGTCAGCGCCTTTGGCATACACCTCAGGGCGTTTTGGGAGATCCTCTAGGCATACGCCTCCCATGCCTTTTAAAACACTGCAAACAAGTTAGCCAATGTAGCCTTTATCAAAGTAATACTACAACCTAGAGAAAGATAGTTTTTCTTCCAAGAGGCTAAACTTTTAGTTAAATCTCTCTGGCATTGCAATTCAAAAGCTACTACTTGCGTTAGTCTCCAACGGTGACCCCAAATATCCCAATGGCAATGGCCAATGGGAGACCTCACACCCCAAATATTTCAAAGATTAGTACTTCTGATTCTCTTCCAAGAAAACGACCAAAGTGGTGTTTATCCCCTCATTGGTGTACTTTGTGTAAGGCTAATGGTGAGAGTTACTACCTCYTACTTATCTCTTGTTCTTTCGTTGCTTCTATTTGGAAACGGTTTTCTCCTTGCTGGGTGTAGGTGGAATCCTCCGGTGGGTGTTCAAAGCCTTTTTGCTCCATCCACCTTTGTATGGCCAAAGAAAAGGGAAGACTCATGGGAAGAAATGAACTCTAGATTCTTTTTTTTTTATTTTTTTTTGAGGAAAGAAACAAGGAAGACATAATTGAAACAATAATGATTAGAGTTGGCATATTGGTTGAAATCCTTGGAAACTTTTTCAAATGTGTCAATGGATGCTATACTCAGAAAGTGGAAGTTGGCTGCATCTTGCTCAATTAAGACCGTCTCCAATTACAATTACAGGAAAGAGGGCCTGCAAACTTTAACTTTGATGGTAGCAGCATGGGAAACCTAGGAGTCTCAGGTAGTGGTGGTGTTTTAGAAAAGAGGAGGCCAAGATAATCGCTCCATACTCAGGACTGGCTGGGAGGGAAACTCTTAGAGCAGAAGTATTTGCTTTAATTGAAGGAGTACAAAGGGAGAAAGAATTGAACATTAGGAAACTGATTATAGAGTGTGGTTTGAAATTGGTAGTAAGCTGGACATAAAGTGAGGAATCAAAGCTATGGAATTACAGCAATGAAAAGAAGAAACTCAGATGGTTGATGAGATATAGAAGTAGCTTTCAATTGGATTAAGCATTGTGCTAGTTCCTCAGCTGATGCTTTAGCCAAACAAGGGGTGGGGAGAGAGAGACTATTCTGGGCATAGTTGTGAGGGGAACTGTTGTGGGGAGAGAGAAGAGATTTTATATCTCACTGACTCACTTTGCACTGTTGTATTTCTATACTATGTACATTCCTTTCTACTTTACCATCAATAAAATTATGCAGTAATTGATCAAAACAAAAAAAAAAATCTAAAAGATAACTAAAATTATAAAACCATTTTTTGTGAGGATTAAGAAATTTAAGAACCTAGCATAAAATTGTTTGGGCTTTGCCTCAAGGGGCTTGGTACAAAGGTGGCTCCTAGATTTAAAATATGTTTAACATCATATTATCTACTTGAAATAGTGGAATTAGGAAAGAAATAAAGAAACTGAAAGTTTGACATACTAGAATGTGTTTTATATGCTATATTTGATTTTATTGTTTGCATTTTCACTTTGAATATGTTTTATATGTTATGGTTATGTATTTTAATTTAAGCTAATAAGTTTTTTAAAATATTTAGTTTAAAATTAACGTTTGTATTTTTAATATTTTCTTAGTTTATTTTGATTTTTTTTTGCATTTTTTACATATATATTTTTTTAATTTTGCATCTTGCTTCAAAGAGGTGTGTGCCCTTGCCTTGCGCCTCAGATGCAAAATGCCCTTTGCACTTTGCTTGGCAGAACATGCAGTGGCCGTTGTTTTAGGTTTGAAATCAGCCAATAGTGATATTTCATGGTATTCTCTATTTCTGTTAGATTCGGTTAACCCCCTTTTTTAAGTATCTCTCGATCTGCTTTATAGTAAACTATTGTGTTGTGAACTTATTTTTCTTGCATTTTGTTGAGGCAACCTATCAGCCAGCTCTTCATAAACATCGGCATTTGAACTCAAAATTAATTTCTTCTATGCATAAGCAGTTCTTCAAGTAGCTTAACATATACATCAATACTGGCTGGTGTATTTTCACTCTTCAGCAAACACTAGCCAATGGAAATCCTTTTCACTAAACAAAACTAAAAGAGGAGAATTTTGTAAAATTTTAATGGAATGGGAGGGAGGTTGGGCTGTGGGATTTTAGTTTGGGTTAGGGTTGCTGGGTTGAAGGGTTCAAGACTTAGGTTTGGGTTAGGATTGACCTCATCTCGAACCCAACCTGGCCCAACGTGCACCCTTAATCATAAATCAGAATGTATGAGGTGTGAGCCCTTTGATCACAGTTTTTTATTAATAAATAATTGAAAATAAGTAAAAATAAATACAAATACATAAAACATYGCATAGAAAGCGGAAATTTTATGAAATTTTAGTATTCATAGTTTGGTTTCTAATATTAGAACCATTGCATTTAAATATAGAATTGAAGTATCATTGCATGGGAGTATCATGATCCATAATGATAGAAATATCATCAATCATCAATATCACTTGCAAAGTTACAAATAAAAAAATTCAGAATTAACAACTTACCTAAATTGCATTACATTAACATAAGCAAGTGTGTCATGTCATAAGCAAATGAATGTGATGAAATTTAGAAAGAAATGCAAAGCTAGGTTGCACTCACTTTTATTGACATTTATTGTAATATTAAAATAACAAATTTGGAGAGTTTTCAACCTATTGTATTTTGTTAATATTATAATGGGAAATATGATAAAATGGTTCCCACTTTTATTTATAATATTTTTTTGAATGAGTTATTTACAATATTTTTATCATAGAAGAAATAGCTTGAAAGCTAAGAGCATACGAGGCATAAGCCTCTTGTACATTCTCATCAGAGGCATGTTTTTAAAAGCCTCTATTATTGGAGGCATACGCCTCAAATGTCTTTATGCCTCCATTATGAATGTGATAAATTTAAAAAGAAAATAAGGGTGCGTGCCCTCAGCCCCTCACTTCTATTTATAACATTTTGTTGTGATATTACAACAAACAAATTTGGAGGATTTTCATCCTATTTATTATGTAAATTTACAAAGGGGAGCATGATAAAATGGTTCTCCCACTTCACTGTTTAATATTTTTACTACAAAGAGGAGCATACGAGGCGTCAGACTCCTGTATATGCTCACCAGAGGCATACCCTCCTATGCCTCTTAGAACATTCGTTTCAGAATGTTGTGTTGTTTGACCCAGAGAAGGGACCGACCGAATATTGGCATTGTTTTACACTCTTAACTGGGCATCTCTACAACTGTGACCTGTCACTAAGACCTGAATTAAACTTTTCGTTTTAATCTGTAGAATTATACTTGTTCATCCTAAGAGGCTGATTTTGTTACAGTATTTTCCACATACCTGATTTATTTCAATATTACTTGTATTGTAGGTGATCATAAATTCTGAAGTCTGGGATCTCCGAAAGTTTAAGCTTCTTCGCAGCGTACCCTCCTTGGATCAGACAGTAATAACATTCAATGCAGGTGGGGACATAATTTATGCAATCCTGCGGAGGAACCTTGATGATATTACTTCAGCAGTCAACACTCGCCGTGTCAGGCACCCTCTTTTTTCTGCATTTCGCACTGTGGATGCCGTCAACTATTCTGACATTGCTACAGTTCCTGTTGATCGCTGTGTCCTTGACTTTGCCACAGAGATAACTGATTCATTTGTTGGTTTGGTATCCATGGATGATCATGAGGAGATGTTTGCCTCAGCCAGGCTCTATGAGATAGGGCGACGGCGGCCGACTGATGATGATTCAGACCCTGATGATGCTGAGACTGAGGAAGATGACGAAGATGATGATTCGGAGGCTGATGAAGATCCAATCCTGGGGCCTGACCTTGATGCTGATGTTGACAGTGATGGTGATGATATGAGCAATGATGACGATGATGACAGTGTCGATGAACTTGATGACGACGAAGATGTGGACTTTGCCATTGATGACGTGGAATTTGATACAGGAGCAGGAATATTGGAGATTGTTACGGAAGGTGACGAGGAAGATGATAGTGAAGTGGTCGAGTCTTTCAGTAGTGGGGATGAAGGGGATATGCTGGGTAATGGTTTTGGATTTTAAATGTTATATATTACACATGTTTTAAATTGTTGAAAGGGATTATTTTTTCGCCAATGAAGTGATGTAATTATTGTTGATGAGTTTAGATGTCACTTGGTCGGGATTCTGGGCGTTATTTAAGCCAAAAAGAGAGAAAATTGTGGCAACGGGGATGTGAGTAAAGGATTAAGATCCCTGTCTTGGCCTGCGGGTAAAGGAATAAAAGTTTTCATTCTATAGCATTTCAACTTCTTTCTTATTTTATCATATATGTTATTTTTTTTCTTAAAACTTCTGATCTACTATGAAAGTTTTTATTGGAATTTAATCAAATTAAGGTTGTTTTTGCTATTATTGCCATTTTTACTTGTAATGTTTTAGGTTGGTCAATACAAATTTTTGAGAAATTGTCTTATTCACTTCTACTTAAACGAAATGGCATTGGGTTGGGTGTTGCCATTTATAGTAGAAACACCAAATTCTACGTTTCTGAACAAATAATAATGGTACCAAATTGTATTAAGAACTCAAAGCATGTGGTAGGAAACAATATGTTCTCATAAAATTTGTATTGACCAACTTAAAACGTTACAAGTAGAAATGACAATGGTACCAAACACAATCTAAGTGTACGGTCTGCATGGTGGATTGACATTTGATAGGTTTTGAATTTTTATCTAWTTTTGGTTGGATCGACAGTTTTAATCATCTGATTAGGAATGTGTTTCATTATACTTATACACCTCATTTATAATCATCTTACCTAGATTTAGTGTCATTAACTCTTGAGGCTTGTTTGAATTGTGACAACACATCCATTTATCCTAATATCTCTGCCATACGCATGCCTCTATCTAAAGGTATCCCCATATATATATTTATAATGCTTTTCCAAAATTTTGACAGTTCCAAAACCTAGATGCAGCTCTAGTCTCAATTGTCAGTGAGACACCATGAGTAGGGGTGTCCAAATCAGATGATGAACCGAAAATCAAATCGAATAAACTAGTTTGGTTCAGTTAATTTGAGTGTCGGTTCAATTCGATTTTGGTTTCTTTAAAAAATTGGTTTTTGGTTTCAGTTTGGTTTGGTTGAAATTTTCCACTGAATCGAACTAGTGGCTGTATCTAATTAACTCTATTAGATATATAATATTAATTAATAATTATTATTATCTTTTCCAATGGCCAATTTGTAATTTCCCATTGCACTTTACAACTTTAGGCTTATTGTAGCTTTTAAATGATAATAGTTAATTAAATTGTCTAGAGACTCTAAACAACTAAAGTATTAAAACCTAGACTAATTATTAATTGTTCATTAATTATTTGTAAAGAATGGGTGTAGTAACCGATTGACACCCTTACCCAACTAAGAAAATGGTTGCACGGTATTGGTCATTGGTGTTTTTTGACGAAACATCAAATTTGATTTACTGGTAGAAATAACAATTTGTATTGATTAGAAAGTGTCTTCTCACAAATTTGTATTGATCAACCCTTAGGCTATGTTTGGTTTGAAGGAAAATGTAGGGAAAGGTAAGGAGACCTTTACAAATCTTGTATTGGTTTCCCTGTCTATCCCTTCCTTTCTCTACTTTTTCCTTCCAACCAAACATAGCCTTAACATTTCATGCAGAAATGGCAAGAATATGAAAAGCACCCAAATTCTTAAGTCCTATCCAACTATTGTGGGGTTGGCTATATGAATTTTGTTTTGCCAATCTGTTATGTTTAATGCTATATTGTTAATTGGTGCTTAAATCATTTCTTACCATTACCCAACTACTTCAACCTTGCATTGAATCACTTCTCATGGATGCCATTGATGATCTTCTTCCATGCACGTGAACAAAGCATTTTATCACATATAGGAGCTACTCCTGGGTTCCTTTGATTGACTTCATTTTGATGATATCCTTTTTAGTTTTTTTTCACTTATCAATCTTAGCATATGCTTACCAAAACAGAAAAAAATTATTATATGAAATTTCGCATCGCATCCTACTTTAATTATATGGACGATATCTTCCTCAGTCTCTCCCTTGTTATAAATTGTTGAGCCAAGGTATTGGAAAAAGGTCACATTAAGTTATTTATTAGTCTCTAATCTTAGGTGCACCATTGTTTACCCTTTTATTATTATAATGCATTTTGTTTATTCCTACCCATCTTAAAACCTCTTGTTTCTAAGGCATTTGTCTATAAGCTTAATTTTGTGCTTTATCTTCATCATTTAAAACAATGTCATTAACAAACAACATGCACCATGAAACTTCCTCTAGCATATGTTTAATTAATTCATCTATCACTAATGCAAATAAATAAGGGCTTTAGTGTTTAATCTTGGTGAAATTTATTGTTTCTTATATAGGTATTCTAACATTGGTTGTTTACCCTTATAGATATATTTAATTAGGTCTATGTACCTATTTGGAACCCCTTCTTTTTACCAATTCTCTCAACAACTTTTACCATATGCTTTTTTAGATCAATGCCACATGTTGGGAACTGACCCTGAGATGATCATGCATTTGACTTAATGTGAATATGACCTATTTAAAACAACAAAATTTTGCATCGAAAAGGCGGTAGGTCATCAATGAGGAAGGGGGCAAACTCATCTGAGCAAAATTTGTAAACAAGGCATGCCCGAAGGATAGTTTCTCACTACTAAAGATCAATTAGCTCGTTGTCGCCACCTTGAGTCACTAGTTGCCCTGTTTCATGGACACATTCTTGGGATATAATCATGACGGTACACGATCTGGTGCTCCTTACAGGAGGATAGCTAGAACGTCAGGTTGATGAGATCGATTGGCCGAGATGCAAGAAAACAATCAGAGTACCTGAGGTGTTTTACCCAGGGTGGGCACTCCGATGCTTAAGTCAACGAAGAGTGTTTGAGAATGCTAGAAAGCAAGAGGACTAGAGACTTAGAGAGCAAAATCGCGCATACCTCCTTTGGTTAAAGGGGGTGCCTTTATACAGACGCAGGTAGTTGTGAGCTTCACGAAGTGCATTCGAGATCTCTGGGAGGACATGGCTTTCGGTCTGCCTCGCTCAGAGGTGGTTTTCACGTAAAGCGATAGAGCTTATCTAGTTATCCCCAAAGTGGGTGACGCAGGAGCCAACTCCATCGGTCAGGCGACATGATCTTGGAGGACTTGGAAACAATAAGTTGAATGTAGTGGAGGCTAGTCGCCACGTCATGTAGGTCGCCACCTAGACCTCAGTCAGGTCGGTGGGAGGTTGCCCCTCATGTCGAGGTCCCCACAGTCCTAACAATATCGTTAGTTTGATCCTGCCAAGGTGCATACAGGTCGGCCCTAACTGAGGCAGTGTCGGGTACTCTCCCAAGGTGCGTGAGGTGCATCCGAGGGGTGTGTGAGGTGGTTCCAGGTGAACTCAACCAACTTGGCAAAGGCGCGTCATTACCTACGTGGCACTGAGGTGTTATGCAACGGTTTGAAAGTGCCATGTGGCATGATGTCACTAGAAGGCCAAATTACCCCTTATCAGTTGCCCCCACTCCCGAGTCTAAGTTGGTTAGCTCGTTGTAGGATTTTGGCCCGAAGTGACCAGGTTTGGTTGGTTCTTTGTCGCTAGTCCGATTCACTCACCCGAACTGGTCCGTTAGGTTGCGCTAGGTGCATGGGCCTTGCATTGTAGTCATTAGTTGCTTGGGTCCCTTGTCTGTATATAGGGGGCCCTTGAGGGGTCCCATTTGCACTGTTTCTTGGAGTTTTGTGGAGCAGTAAAGCAAGAGGTTGAAGAGTTAAGTGAAAACATGCAAGGTCGGTCAATCCAGTTTTCTCCTAGTCTCATCAGTGAGCCCTTGTCCTTTTTCCCTTTAATTTATGTCTTCTGGTGAGTCAGAGCGGGAGTACTACCAGGCTGCTTGAGCTGAGGTCCCTCAAGAGCAACAAGAATCCCAAAGAGGGGCCTCGACTTCTCATCGTCAACCCAAGACAAGGTCAAAGTTTGGACCTACCGAAGTGAGTGGCAAAGAAATAATAGACCTAATCACAACCTATCACATACCAAACACCTATAATTGCATTCAACCTGGCGAGGACCAGTATCCTTGGAGTCATGGACAAGCTAAAGTTTGTGTCTTCGAGGAGGCCTTGATTACTAGACTTCACTTTCCTCTTCACCCTTTCTTAGACTTGGGCGTACGTAGGTTGGAAATCCAATGAACCTTAGACGTAGTATCCCTACATGATGTCGACGTTCTATAAGCTGGGGACCTGCCTCCCATCGAGAGTTTTGAGCTCGTACATTCTGGGTCTGATCACTTTACTCACCTTGTAGAGGCCTTCCTAGTTAGGACCAAGTTCTCCTAAACTGCGCTTGGGTATCATAACCTTCTTGAGTACCAGGTCACCAACTCAGAGTTGGCATCTCTTAACATGGGCGTTATAGTACCAAGCCACTTTCTGTTGGTACGCCGCGGTTCGGGTATATGCTAAGTCTCGAACTTCTTCCACCAAGTCAAGGTTTGTCCACAACTCGTTGTTGTTAACTTCCTCTTCGTATGCTTCTAAACGTAAGGTGGGAACCTCGATTTTGGTAGGGATGATAACCTCAGTTTCAAACATCAAATTAAATGGTGTCTCACCAGTCTCCATTCTAATTGTCGTGTGACATGCCCACAAGATGCTAGGCGGGTCGTCCACCCACAAACCCTTAGCTTGAGAAAGCCGAGCTTTGAGACCTTGCGGGATAGATCAGTTGGTCACCTCGGCTTGCCTGTTTGCTTGAGGGTGAGTTACCTAGTGAAGTTTGTCGAATCCCCATCTCAGCACACCAGTTCTGGACTGGATATCTACGAATTGTTTTTTGTTGTCTGAGATCAACACACGTAGAAGGCCAAAGTGGCAAACGATATTCTTCCAAAAAGAACCTTGTACATTCCGAGTTGTGATAGACACCAGTGGCTCAGCCTCTACCCACTTGGTGAAGTAGTCCATCCAATGATTAGAAACCTTCTCTACCTTGTTGCCGGTGGGAAGGAACCGAGTATATCAATCCCCCATTGTGCAAATGGCAATGAGCTAGTCAGGTACCTCAAGTTGGTTGCAGGCAGCCGGGGTATGTTAGTGTATAGATGACACTTGTCACACTTTTGTATGAGTTGTTTGGCATCCTCCTTCATCGTCGGCCAGTAGTATCCTTGTCGTAGGGATTTTTGAGCCAATGCCCTGCCCCCCAAAGTGTCCGCCGTAGAAACCTTTGTGGAGCATATATTATCTCTGGCAT